CATACATTAATCTTTTGGGGGTACCGGGTACGCCCTTCTACAAAAGCATGGGGATTTCAATACCTGCAGTTATGCTTATTAACAAATCCATTTAAAATGTGCATTCATCACTGAAGCAGATCTTCTTTACATGAATGGTATTATCATTAATCGCTACAGTCATTTGTCCACAACTCAACTCGCCTATCGAAATCATCTTCGGTTAACTCTTGCAATATTTTCATTTTGAATGAATAAAATTTATGAAGTTTAGTAACTGTGTGAACAGAGCCTAATGAAATACCAGTCGCAGCAACAATTTTGCGTAATGAAGTATTTGGATTTATTCCAAAATGTCCCAAAACTTCAACTTGTGCGGCTTCATCCAAAACTCTCGGATGAGCACGTTTCTTATTTGCAACAGATCCAGTTTAAGTTAATTTAGTAACAAAGTCCAAAACATACCTATGCGAAGTTATGTTTCCCGGATGTCTGGCGTTTTTTTTATACCGAAGCAGCCGCTCAGGCAGAAGCCTAAATGCCGGGACACCGCGGCTGCTATGATCCAAAAAAATTTTTGTTAATCCGATTTTTGAACTGCCAAATGTTAGTGGAACTGGGAAAAGCTTCCTCTTGTAGATTGTTCCACAATCTCGACACCCTCGGGACGAAGGAGCGGTCGTATCGGCCAGTTCTGGGTGTATGAAGTTCGTCACGGTTAGGGTGGGAGGCCTAAGTCAGGCGGGTCTGTCTGACAGGCACATCGCGCGGCGGCATCATGGAAGAGAGTTCTGAGGAGCAAAGCTGGTTAGTGTAGCGGTAGAAGAGAGCTAGATCGCCGACGGCCCGCCGGTGCGAAAGGGTCCCGAGACTGTCTGTTAGAGAAGAGTCATCGATCAGTCGTACAATCCTCCGCTGGACAGCATCGAGCATAAATAATGTAGTCGGGGCGAGAGCACTCCAAACGTGTGAGCAATACTAGGCCTTATCTGGGCCTTGTATAGAGTGAGAAGGTCATTCGGAGAAAAGTACTTCTTACCCCTAAACAAATAGCCTAGCTTTTTCCCAGCAGCTGCCGCTATTGACGAGATGTGTGGATGAGCGCTAGGACGCTTTTTGTTCGTCAAGGTACAGTACTGGGTTTTAGAAGCTTTAAACTGTACAAGATTGTTGCGTCCCAAGCAGTGATAACCTCCATGTCTCTCGTCAGAGAGGAAGTCGTCGCTAGTCTTCTTTTTTCCAGCTCAGCGGCAGATATCGGTTTATCAGTCTGAATTCCTGCAGGTAGAGTGCTGTCATCAGCGAAGCTGTGGGTTGGGTTGATCGTGCAGGAAAGGAGGTCATTGATATGTAAGAGGAACAGTGTCGGAGCCAAGACCGATCCCTGGGGAACACCCGCGTTGACGTTGTGGGATGAAGAGGAGAACCCGTCAATTACGACGTATATCTTGCTGCCAGAAATAAAGTCAGCCACCCATCTGCAAAGCTTTTCTGGGAGCTCATATGATGGAAGTTTGCATAAGAGGGCAGCGTTCCACGGCTGATCGAACGCTTTCGTGATGTCAAGATCAACGACATGAGCCTCACCATAAGGCTGGATGAGTTTGCTCCAAAATTGCGTGACGTAAGCTAGGAGGTCCCCTGTGGATCGCTGGTGCCGGAAACCCATACTGTCTGTCGCTAGTCAAGCTGTGACGTTCGAGGTAGTCCAGAAGCTCGCTGCACACCTCTTCAGTACAATGGCAGGAATCAAGTCCGAACCAGAAGCTTTGTTGATGTCGAGCAACAAGAGCACTAGTCTTACGGTCTTATGCCTGAATGTTACCTCCCGCATAGTGTACGGAACCCTTTGAATTGACGGCACTTGGACGTTGGGGCGACCTCGATGATGGAGTTGAAAGCAAAGATCTTGGCAAGCATTTTCGCCTTGGCCTTTGAGTCGAATACAATCTGCTTGGCCAACATCCAGAAAGACAGACTGCTATTCCGCTGTGACAATACCCTGTGCCTAACTTTTATATCGTGACGATTTTTGGCATTGCGAACCCCTTCGTTATATTATTTGTTTCTGGACTCGACGTCGGCTTATCTGTTCAATACAGTGGGTTTTATAAGAACATACAGGATGCGTGATCAGAGAGATATCCAACAGGCTACTGGCGTGTGACGAGACACGGGGAAAAAAGCACGGCTCGTCACCAGCTGGATCAGCCCTTGAGTAAGAGCGAACGCTTCAACTGCACGACCCGCTGCATCGGTCTTGTTTGAGCCAAACCAAAGCTCATTATGGGCATTGAAATTACCGAGGAGAACTACATCTAAATCGGGGTGATTGACGTTCAGGAAGTCGATCTTGATGGCGAGGTATTCAACTAGGTCATCCCAGCAAATAAATTTGAGGGATGTTTTGGAGTTGAGGAGAAGCCACAGAATGTCCTTCCGGTCTGATTCCAGGGAAACATCTCTGGAGCAGGAAAGACTGCTGCGGACAAAGGCCACAACTCCCTCGTTCTTTCTCAGATTGGAGTGCACCTCGTAATTTGGGAAGCTAAGATGGTTAATCGATGCAGAATCTGAGATTTTTGTCTCCGCCAAGAAAAACATGGCGGGACGATTGGATTGCAAGTAGTGATGAACAGCATCCCGCGGATGTTCGTGAAACAAATTTTATCTTCGATGTTGTTCCCTCGAGTCCACCCTCCACCCGGACATTCCGAGAGTGGAGTGAGTTTACGTCCGGAATTCTCAGTACTCGAGGGATCCATCATCGTTAATTTCTTTCTTTTGGAAGATAACCGACAACATAGCTTAGGTGTGGAAACATGCAGACATTTATAAGAGGGAAAAGCTAGCGGGTGGTACCGCCTCGGTCGACTGGCCCTTTTCTACCACCTTCCTTTTGCGTGTGAATGATCTAAAGAGGCCCTGTGGCGGACTTGTACCTCCACCCGGCAACCAGTACTGAGGTATTCCTTAACGCGTGTACAATCACTTGAACAGGAAGAAGTTGTAAACTGGATACAACAACTACCGGAACAAGCTTTTGCCACGGCCCCGCTCAGTAGGGGTTAAGGCGATAAATGTGACGGCAGTTTGCCGAGCACATTAATTTTGGGCACCATAAATTTGAATCATTTCCACTCTTTCGGCTAGTGTGTAAACCATTTTGGAAGTAAAATCTGAATCAATAAATTAATTTTTACTATCCCAAGATTGCCACAAAAGTAACTGACAGCAAATAAATATCTTTCAATCCTTAGCAACAAATAACTAAACAGAAATAACAATAAATACAGTTCGCCCAAGCTATTACTTGTCTTCTAAAATGTGGAGGTGAAGTAGTTTTTGGTTAAAAAGTTGTCCCCCTTGACAAACCTCTTGACGCATTTTTTTTTCTTGTGGGTGGTTTTCGATAAATCCGTGGTGGGATGTTTTCAAATGAACACCCTGTATATTGATTATTGTTGACTGAAATTGTTAGAGTGTACTTGATTTTGATGACATTTTTCGTATTCAAATATGGGGCATTGCCTCCTAGTCACCTCCTATTGAGCTTACTCCATATATTGATCATGATTTTGATTTTTGAGCTGCCATAACTTTTATTTAGAACATGGAATAACTTTTTGAGGGTATATTACTTTAGTACATTTTTCATGGTTTTTCAAGCTCGAGTGTTTTAATGAGTAGTTTTGTCTCAGACAGAGAATAGAAGGTAGTTTTCAAGCAATCTCTCTCTCTCTCTCTCTCTCTATAGGGTTGTTTATACCGTAAATTTTGAAAATGAAGCAAGCAACCCCTACCTTATTATTATGCCACATTACGTATACCTTTGTACAAAGTCGCACCGTTATTGAGCTACGCGCAATTTTATAGATTTCCAAAAAAAATAAAAATCATGTGCTTGTTCAATTTGTTTCTCAATATCACGGAATATTGAAACAAACAGAATCTCATTGAAAGTATGGAAAACTATGAAACCCATTTTTCGTAAAATAAAGCATTTGATAATGACAAAATCATTCGTTCATTCACTCACAGAATGTAAACCGCTATTCATTAAGGATTTTCCCAGCTTGTTTTCGTATACCCTGCTATAGTAGTCAGTTTACTAAACGTGATTTGGTTCCACAGTACCGTGAAGTTCATCTGAATGTTTGTTGGAAACATAAATGGCAACTGCGCGAAAATAAAATAAACCTGAAATTCAATACACAGAAAAACAATTGACATTTTCAAGAACATTGCAAAACGCCAATACAAGCTACACACACCAAAAGTACAAAACCGTGATACACTATAAATGTATACAAGGTGGCCCAACTAAAAGGTCGCACTCCTAAATATGACTCTCCTGCTTCATTTTGGGAAAAACGCTCGGACACGTCAATTTTGATTTCTAGGCGTACAGCATAGGGTGATCCAAAAATAAGATATTCCGTTACACTTTAGATTTTTAAATGGAAATTCCCATTTTTGTATGATAAAGTCAATAACTATCTTCAATCGTTGTGAAGCTGTTTGAGTTTATAATAAAATTCTAGAAATTGTGATAAATAATAACCAGTATAATTCCCAAAGTAACGAGAATATAAAACTATAAAACATGTCTCCTAGTATTAAAAAAACAACTTACAGTTTACACGGATTAAAGTAAAAATTAATTTGCTATAAAGAGGTAGGTCAATGTGGTAATAATTGCTGAAAGTGGTGTCCATTTACCTTCATGCAATAATTTTGTTCGAGTCTATTCCTCACATTTGTATGTATGCATTGAGTTATTTATCCACATTCAACTTCAACACGATACTGAGTCGCTATGAAAGAAAGATATAATGCGTGAAATTATAATTTCAGGATAAGGTAGTTACGAACTCAACAGATCAATAAATTATGAAATTTGCCAAAATAAAATCATTGAAAAGGGTTTGGCCTAGGAGTATGTACTCTATCATCAATAGGGAGAAATTTAAATTACTAGTAAGTGATTGAAATAATAGAAAAAAGGTTACATGATTTTGGCACGATACACAGTACTAGACAGCCGACAAAAGGCTACAAATATAAAGAAACATACATAAGTTAGATGCGTACTGAAATACTTTTATTAAAAACAGGATTATTGCCAACATGTTTACTTTTGCATAAATATCACCTAAACCAGACATATCCAGAAAAGAGTGGTTCATGTATCTACTAACTACAACATTAGAGATCAATTTAAGGGACATGTTGATTCTTGACAAACACATCCCTTTTTCCCAAAATTATCTATCTCGGGTCATCAATCTACTGTATCAAATTTGGTCCATGATTCGAGCAATGATTGATGCCTTTTTTCATTGGACGAGTTTATCTAACACTTCTTACTGATTGCTCGAACGTGCTCAAATTAAAAAAAATAGCCAAATAAAGTGATTTATAGTTACTTGCTTTAATATAGGGACTAGACGCCCTTCATACAAAAATCATATATTTTTTTGTTGGGAGAGCTTATATAACATATAACGAAGTATAGCACTCTTGAGCTAAATAATGTAAAATTGATAAAGTGTAGGCTTGGTAACACCTACATCTTGAATTCGACAACACCCTGCAATATGAAGTCAGACTGTGCCACCATTATACGCATAGTCAGCCTTATTGTGCATTATCAGGCAGTCATCAACAAAATAGAATGAGTCTGATCTCGTTTCAAAGGGATGCGCAGTCATTTCATTCACTGAAAAAAATAAAGCATAATCAGGATCCCAAAATCCATTGCATTTGCATTAATCCAAACAATAATTATTGACACCATTTATTATAATGTTAGAAGAGTTATTTTTCAGCGTTAATTAAATTAGACGCAAATAAAAATTGTATACACATGGAATATTCCGTTTCTCCAACATATCGAATATTCCGACCGTTTGAGGCCCATAGTATATTGTTAACAACAAAATGTCAATACTCTGAAATGAACTAAACCTAAAACACTCTTTGGTGTATTGTGGGGAAAGGTTTTGGACCTTAAGGGCCGGAGCGTCAGTCGTTCCTACAATTTATTGTAGGACGCCTTTATGGCCTCCTTGATTTTTATAGCCTTTTCACTCCTTCAGCAAGGCTGGGATATTTCTAGATTTCTCTTTCCGTGACAGCGCCAGCGCTCTCGTATTGTGAGGCTATGTTTTCTATTTGAATTGTAGGAAATTTCAGGCTATATAACAGAGGGTATAAATCGAAAACATGAACAATTTTTATGCAAATAAATATTTGTAACATAACTCCAAAATAGAGCGCTGACATGGATCAGTAGAATGGATCTATGAAAATCAAGGAGATGGATCTTAAAACGGTTATCACTTGAAAACGGCCATCTTTAAAGACACGTTAATAAGGATACTAATTCAAAAATAGTGAAGGTCTGTTAAATATAAAAACACACATACCTTGGGACCCAGGTCCACTGAATTGATTTTTGAGATTTAGCGGATTGCGTTTAACATACTGCATCTTGCAAAGTTTACCTATTAATTTGATGCGCTCTTTGATTCCTAGTCGTTTTTATTTTTCCTTCATTCTTTATGTATATGTTTGTTCAGATTCATAATATACCTGCAGCTCTTATATTTCATTAAACAGAAAAAAATAGTTCCTGTACTTTACGGCGTCGTTACTGAGATGTATTAAAGTTTGTTACAATAAAATATGAGTAACGGGTACAAAATTACAAGGTATTAAAAATAGTGATGTTATCACAAAACAAGTCCTTTTCACAAAATTGATTGTAGGATCTTTGTGCTTGTTACTAATGGAGAATTTATACCTAAGTTAGTACATGTTATAATGACGATGATTCCCATCTGGAATCATTGAACTAAACTAGGGAAAGCAAATTATTACAGTCGTAAAGGTTATTAACTACTTTGTATACACAGGGTGTAATTTGATTGATGGCTAAAAATACAGGATGTGATTCCTTAGCTCATTTTAAGAAGAAAAGTTCATATGAACATAATATGTCCTAAACCTCTTAACCTTTGAGTTACAGGGCGTTAAATTCGTTTTCATGTCATAACTTTAATACTGTTCTAGATATTTTCATAAAATTTAACAAGCACCTACTAAGCAAAGAAATTTTTTGATGTAGAATATTTTTTAATATTTCTACCAGTGGGGACCGTACGGGATTAATACTAGGTTTCAAAAAAAAAAATGGTACGCCATTGCTTTTTTCAAAAAAGAAAATATTTCTTAAATCCTCATTTATTTTGCAATAAATTTTACCTCTTGACTTTTTCCGTCCGACGCACCGTTCTCGCGTAAAAAATTAAAACCATCTTGGTTATTTTAATCCATCGACTTTACTTGAATAAAAAATTAAACAAAAACACATCTTACCTACAAACTAGTATATGAGATTTCTGTGGATCAAATAAGCTAATACTATTTATTTCAATTATCACAAGAATTGTTGCTTTTGCTAGAATACAGACTTCAATTATCTTTTTCATGGATTGGCGAACCCTTCCAAAAATTCCAGTAGTATTTCTTATGCTTTGGCAACAAAGTAAGATTTTCTACCTTAGTTCCTCTACAGGTTGAACCGATGTAGTATAAACTATGGTCTTGAGCTGCCCCACAAAAAATAGTCTAAACTATTTAAATCAGGGGACCTGGGATGTCAAGACTGAGTTCCCCCACGTCCTATCCAGCGATTCGTAAACGCTTCATTTAGAAATTCCTTAGCATAAATGCTAAAATGTGCAGGAGCACCATCATCCATGTACCACATTTCTTTTTTAATAAAAGAGGTACATCTTCGAACAAAATTGGCAAATCGTTTTAAAGAAAGTGACGATAGGATAGTCCATCCAGTCGTCCTGTAAGGAACAACGGTCCTATGTGGAAATCTCCAATTATTCCAGCCCACATTCTCTGCTCCTGATGATGTACCTCCGTAGGTGTATATTATTTTTCGTCGGCCCATACATGATTGTTATGGAAATTTCGAATAGAATTGCGGGAAAAACTAGCTTCATCAGTAAAGAGTATTTTGATATCAAATTAAAGGTTTTCATCCATTTTTTTTAACCATCGGCAGAAATTTAAACGCAATGGAAAATTACGCGGCAGTAGTGCTTAAACCCTTTGAATATGATTGGGGTATTGGAAACATTAAGCATTACCGCAATTTCTCTAGTATTTGCTTCTGGATGTTCCTCAATTGCGTTTAAAACAGCTTCCTCTAATTCTGGCGTTCTCATCGTGCGATGTGCCCCTTTGGAACTATTGTCAATGCTAAGGCCCGTATCGTCAGTCGTCCCTACAATTGTAGGGCTCGTTTATGGCCTTCTTGATTTCGATAATATTACGTCATCTTCGTTAACGCACATGTATGTCCTCCTTTTGATTTCCGACATCTGACAGTTCTGGCTTGAAGTTGTTTTGACGTTCAAGTCACATGACAGCAGAACCATAATTTATAATCAAATCCAAGCGAATAACCAAAATTTCTGTGTTATGTGCCGCGGTTATAATATGGTTCAAGATGACACACGGGTTGATCACGTCAGTTACACGAATCGCTTGAACGCGTTGGTTTTAACCGCGGTTTTGTTGCATGTTGTTTATTTTAGACAAGCGCGTATATAATCTCTGATTATTTTTATTATCACTTAATAATCGGTGCTTTTTCGTCTACAACTGTATATGGAAAGTTTAAATAAGAAACCTTTCATAATATTCATGGGAGAAATGTTTTTTTCAGATTTTTTTTTAATGATGGAACCATGGCTTTGTAGCTATGATAACTTTCAATTCTCTAAATTTTTCCGCATGTCAAAGAAAACATTTACTGATTCAGCAGAAATGATGAAAAAAGAAATTAACAAAACCGTATACAGGTGGATATCATCTAGTAAGTTTATATGGCCATATTTTAATATTCTTGTGGTATATGGCTACACAGGATACTTTGTTAAGCATTGGAACTACATTTAAAGTGTCCCCAACAACCGTAATGAGTATAACTAATAAGGTGCTCCACTTTATGGTAAAACTGAAGTCAGCCTGTATCATTTTTCTCAAAAATGAAGCTGAAGTACAATAACAATATTCAATACCCGGCAAAATTCTAACTTGTCGCATTTCAAATAATAACCAGAAATATAAAACTACTCTTGAGTTGGGTAAATACCACAATTTTGCGGTGATAACTATGACATATAACAGCTGATTCGTGACGTCACGGATTTATAACCAAACTGATAACTACACTCGCTTGAACGGATTGGTAAATACCAACCCAAAATGGTAAATACCATTTCCATTTGGTTATCCGCTTGAATTTGATTTATAATTTTCTTGCAAATAATTATCGATCACTCAAAAATACCTCGCTACATTGAACAAATTCCACGACCTGTGGTATCTTCAAGAAATTGTTGAGTTAGGAAAATTAATGCACATGGATATATTATACTATAATATATTTGAGTGTATGAAAGTCCAGAAGCTTACAACCAAGCTTGATGGAGGTTGGTAAGTTACAAAACAAATCATTGCATATCCATATATACTTATCGCATTATTTTCAGGTGTGATTCATTATCACAGACTTTACGAGAAGTTGGTTCCTCAGTAAAACTTTGGAAGGGTAAGGAGGTGATCTTTCTAAGAAGGAATTTATGCATCCAGGCATAATTGAAGGAATCTTACAGAAACAAAACGTGAATTTTATTTATGTGACCGATATGTGTTACACTGCAATTTGTTAATTAAAGCCTGGCATAAACCTGTATGATCATATTCATAATGATAAGAATGAACACTTACGAACTTGAAGACAAGCTGTGCTAAGCAAGTATGTATAATGTGTAAAGGTTCTGAAATTGAGTCCATGGTAAGTTGACAATCATAATTTTAGGATATTAAAAAGAGCATGGGCATGTAGGAGCACTAATTATGAGACATTACAAGGTGTAAATGGGAAAATTGAGTTGCAGCATGAAGTTAAATTCTTCATTACTTTATACCATCATGGCAGAAAATTCCACAACTAATTACAAGAAAACTGGGAATCAATTCACTGCTTAAGGAATGTCAAACACTGAATAGGACTGATATTTGACAGGTGCTCGCCTTGTTTTACAATATTAGCCTTGTGGGCATATATATATATATATATACAGGGTGACTTCGAAGTTGAGTCATTTATTTTAAGTTAGTAGATCTGATCAAAAGAAATGTTTTTTCCTTTAACATTTTTGTGGTAAAATTAAAGTAACAAAGTTATAGCCCTTTAGAAGTTTGAGTACCGTCCTGTCTCAATAATAATATGTGCTCGTGTTTGGCAACAACGGATATAATCGGAAACAAAAACGCAAAAGAATTTGAAACGGTTATCACGATGTTTTATTCATTTATTTTATTCAGTTGTATTCATTCGATGTGTCAGTCGGTAACGCGTGAGTGGTGTTTCTGCGTGGCTCAAACGAAATAAAAAATGGCACATGTTTACGAAAATGCTGAACTTGTGGACATGATTCTGATTTTACAAAATGCTGCTACGGCAACACGGATTTATGCGGATCGGTTTCCCAATCGAGTGCAACCAACCCCTAGTGCCTTTGTTAATGTAGTACAAAGGGCTCGTGAATCAGGTGACTTAAGTCGTCACACGGGAGGGTATGTGCTCCAAGACCGCACGATCAAATACAGGTCCGCACTGAAATACTT